GACTGGGGAAAGGCAGGCAGCGCAGGGCCATCCTCACGGCCTTGAATGCATGCCCATCAAGGCCTTCTCTTGTGGGCAGTGGGGGGGCCCACTGACCCCTATTTTAGGGAGTTCACTCTGGCTGAGGTTGGCGGGATGGCCAGGGGTGGGGAGCCCCAGTGAAGCAGAGGCACCCTGGGCTGAGGGCCAGAGCAGAGGGACCCCCGGGTGGAGGAGCCCAGGATGCGGAGGCTGCTTGGATGTGAAGAAGGAGGAGAGAAGGATCCGGAAGCTGCCCTGGTTCCTGGCTTTGCATTTTAGGTGCTCAGACAGGGAGTTACAGAGAGAAGCGATCTGGAGCACATGTTGAGAAAGATGTCCGTGGCACTGGCATTACGCCTGTGTCATTATTCCCTTGCTCCCGGGAAGTTCTGAGTTTCCTCTGGACGCCATCACGACTTTCCACAAGCTGAGTGGCTTAAAACAACGGAAGTCTATCCTTTCACAGTTGTGGAGACTGGAAGTTTGCAGTTAAGGCATTGGCAGGGCTGTGCTCCCTCTGAAGTCTCTAGGGGAGGACCCTTCCTTGCCTCTCCCAGCTTGGTGGCCCCAGGCATCACCCGTCTCTGCCTCTGACACTGTGTGGCTTTCTCCTCTGGGTGTCTCTGTTTCTCCTTCTGCGTCCCTTAAAAGGACACTGATCATTGGATTTAAGGTCCACCCAGGCAATCCAGGATGATCCCATCTTGAGATCCTCAACTTGATCATATCTACAAAGATTTTTTGCAAATAAGGTCACATTCACAGTTCTGACGGGTGTATGAGCGCAGCACGGAGGAGCATTTGGGGGTGAGGGGTGAGGCCACCACTCAGCCCCCTGCAATGGAGAAAAATACCTCTCTCTCAGCCAAGAGGTGAGGACCAGATCGAGCCTGCCTTCTCCCTTCATCCTCTCCGCGCCGCCTGCTCCTCCCTCCACCTACCTGTGTCTGACAAACTTTCCTTGTAGGGAAAACCATCCTGAGCTGCCAAAGTGTGATTGGAAGTTAAACAAAAGCCAACAGACACTTGGAGTACAATCAGATAGAAAAATAGAAATGAATAATTCATCCAGCTTTGCCAGGGGGAGGGGGGCTCAAAAATGAGTCTGATCATGCTCGTTCCCAAGTGAGGTCAGTCCTACCGTGAACTTTGCTGTGAACATGAATCCATGCACGTGGGATTCATGCAGCTGGCTCTGAAATGGCACCGGGTGGGGGGCCTAGGGGTTAATCCTCAAAATGAAAGGACATTCCAGGGTCATAGTCAACTCTTAATTTTGTAAATGAGGTAAACCGAGGTTTACAGAATGGAAATTATTTTTGCACATGGAACTGAACATTCCAGAGAGAGGTAAGACTGGGCACCAAGCACAAAGGCCCCGACTTCCAACCCAGCACCAGTCCTGCCAAGGTCAAGGCCACCAAGTACGGTCACTCTGGACCAAGTGTCTCAAAGTCCGCAGACTTTGGGTGGGAGCCCCAAGGATGTTTGTGGTGTCTGTTCTGGATGTAATTACTGCGCTGCAGAGGCTTCTCCACCCCTATTCCCTTGTCAGGAGTCTGTCTTCAGGCCCCTGCTTTGTGACGTGACCACGGGGCTTCAGCAGGGACAGCCTCACTCGATAACTCACCTCTCACGCGCCTGATGGCCAGCGAGGAGCCAGGCACCCACAGCGAGGTCCTTGTGCTGTGACGAGTGGAGCCAGAGGTCTTGGAGAGGCCCTCTGGGACCAGGTGACCAGATGGCCACTCCCTGAGGACACCGTGCTGTCCTGGAGAAGCCGAGTGTGGCCATGTGCTGAGGATTCAGAGGCACACTTTGGCTGTTACCGTGATTTTGTCTTCCTCCACCAGTGTCATGTGGAAACGAAGCTCTGGGTTTCACGTCGTCTTTCCCCAGCACCCACTGTATCAGGTCCCTTGTTTGAAACAGCAAGAGAGATTCCCTGAGTGTCGCAGGGGCTACAAGAACCACAGGCCAGGGCTGTTGGCGGGACCCAGGCATTGGAGACTGTCTCCCCAGCCCGCACACAGGGTCCTTGGTCTGCGTGGGTCGCCCCTTGGCCAGCTGTGTGTCGCCCAGGTTCAGGCGTGTTTGATCTGCGTAGTCCTGGTTTGGGCATGTTCACTGCAGAGGGCTGTGGACTTATGTGAGCCCTGTGGACTCAAACCACCATGGCCTCGTTCAGATTTCTAACTCGTGTTTGAAGAAGGCCAAAGCTGGATGTGGCTGTGCTGAGGCTGTCAGGGGCGGTTACTGTGATCTGGGTCCCGTGAAGCAGGAAACACGTGCTCTGTAATCACCCATTTGCTTGGCCTTGGCCCCTGGAGGAGTCTGGGACCAGGGTCTGGGGGCCTGGGAGACGAGGCTCCTGAGCGTTCTCTCTGGCCACAGCGTCCGCAGCCTCAGGTTAGAAAGATGGTTCATACACCCTCCAGCTTTAGTCTCCATGATCTGGAGGGTTTAGACATCATATCGCTGATCCTTCTCCATTGGGCTGGGCTCTAGAGCCGAGGCCAGAAAGGAGAGAGATTGTGGACACTGACTCAG